TTTATTTCAGCATACTATACTGTGACTTTATTTCAGCATACTATACTTTGACTTTATTTCAGCATACTATACTATGACTTTATTTCAGCATACTATACTATGACTTTATTTCAGCATACTATACTATGACTTTATTTCAACATACTATACTTTGACTTTATTTCAGCATACTATACTGTGACTTTATTTCAACATACTATACTATGACTTTATTTCAGCATACTATACTTTTCTTCGAAATTCTATATTTTGACTTTTTATAATAAATACTTTAAATACATGACTTCTGACATAAAATACATTGCATTTCTTTTACTTACTATGTCATCAGCCGTTATGATATTTTTTCAACAAACCGTACTATGACTTTTCATGACCTTCGTTCTACTCACTTTACTATTAGTCATTTTCAAGATTCTTTTCTTTTATTATTTCTGCTTTAGCTCACCTGGTAAAGCTCATGATCTACTATCAAAAATAAATGGTTCGTGTCCTGTCTGGGACCCTTTGATGTACTCGAGGTTTTTTTGACATATTGTAGTTTGACTTTGTATTTTTGACAAACCATACTATGACTTTTTTTCAACAGACTATACTGTGACTTTTGATGCTGTGTTCTTCATTCTATATTTTGACTTTTTATTGCCTTTTGTTACATACTATAAAATTAATTTTTCTGCATACTATACTATGACATTTAATGCATTTCTTTTCGAAATAACATAATGTAAGTATGTAAGTTTTTTGACATGCTATATTTTGACTTTTTATGATTTTTCTACATACTATACTATGACTTTTTGACGTTTTCTTCGACAATCTATATTATTCTTACAATATAACAGTATAATAAATAAGTATAAGTATAATATACCATATATTATACATATTTTAAACTTTTTTAAACTATATTTAGACTTTTTATGACTTTTTTTGACATACTATACTATGAATTAATAAGACTTATTTTGACATACAATATTTTGACTTTTAATGACTTTTTTTGACATACTGTATTGGGACATTTTTTAAATACTATACTATTGCAACCGGT